TGGAAAGTAATCGGAGTCCGGCTGGTCTGACAAAAAAGCAGACTTTACTGCTTCTTTACCCTGGTAAAGTGAAGACGTGATCTTTTCTCTCGTAACATTATTTTTACCTCGCCACGTTCGCACATCCCGCTGATTGCTGTAAGCGATTATTGGCGATGTGATGGGAACTCTGCGAGCATAAGTCACGTTTTTGATGGATTTATTGCCGGGCAAGGCACACGGCCATTGAGTGACCCGCCTTGACCTCTCAGTGCGGCACCTTGTAATTGACACGTTGCGAGTGTCGGAGCGATCAGCAAACCTGCAGTTTGCGCCCAGCTCTGTGGGCGCTACGGCCTTCAGTTTTGATGATCGATTGTATGCCGCTGAAATGGCGATGAAGATGTGATCGTAGTGGCTACGAATGCCGGAACAGATCAGCTCAGACAGTGATAATGTGGTCAGTTGAATGGGGCGACAACCAGCCAAATATTCGTGAATCGCAATGCCAATGGAGAGGAAATGTGAATGCATCCAAGAAAGTTCTTTCGAAATACTTGCTCATGCAGTCTTCTTACAAGCATTTGAAAATATAAGAGGACCCAATTCATAGAAAAATGAACATCAGATAACTGTGATAAATCAGTGCTTTATGACCATTACTTTATGACCATCTGCACTACGTGTAGCGCCTGTGGTCCTGCGCTCCGACCTTGATCGCCTCATCCGGTCGGTCGATCGGTGCCGCTGTGGCCTGCCGCATTCCTGCGCGTCGGCCCGCACACCAAGGTGTGATGGATTTCGGGGCACGCTGCGCGCACAGCCAGCACCTCACACGCGGCCAGGGCCGGCGGTCAAGGCTGGGCGCCAAACGGGCCCAGATCACGGCGGGGTAGCGCACGAGCCGCCGCCGGTGTTCTCCTGTTGACGGGAGAAGCACGGACGGGATGGCCGCCCCACTTCTGGCTCCTTTCACCGCGTGACTTCCGTTTTGTGTTAGCACGCTGTCGATCGATTCATCGACGCGCTGTTTTCTGGATAGATGGACGCGCTGGCCCTTTTGCTGTTGCGGTTGTGTGCTCCCACGGATGCAGTCCGGCCGCGGTGGTGAGGTGGTCTGATTCGGGAGGCTGCTTTCACCCGGTGTGTCGTGTCCCGTGCGTGAGATCTGGAGACGGTGGGAGTGTCGATCGGGCCCAAACCGCAGACCGGCCAGAATATATTGAGTGATTTTGGGGTTTTAGTCAGCTGTAACGGAACGACTGGTAGTCGTGGGATCCACAGATGGAATCATCTTCAAATCCGGGTCACTCATAACAAAAAGTCTGTGATTGAATCATCCCTAATGAATTCTCTCCTGCACGGAGGTGACAGGCTTCTGTGCCTTACATACCACGCACCACCCGACCGACCCCGCTCCCCAGCTATGAGTCACAGTCGTCCGGTCCGTAAGGCGCTGCTGGCCCGGATGCCGATGCCGTCAGTGTTTATATGACATTGACCCAGCGCGAGCAGCGACAAAAACTGGTGACAACCCGCCCGGTCCGGCCCGCTGCCGACGGAAGGCCAAACTGGTGTTTGTTCGAGACACGCTGCCAGGTTTGTCAGGTTGGCAGTTGCCACCGCTTAGTGACAGTTCAACTTTGATCCGACTCCTTGCCACCACCGCACGCCTCCGAAATCTGTACTCGGGAGTCTGAAATCCTCAGGTTTATGGAGAAGCCGTGTTCTCCGCTGGTTGACCCGCATCGTAATGGATGTTTCACACCGAACCACATTCCTGACGTCGCTGTGTGAAAACGAAACCCAGTCACGACTTCCAAAAGCTCGCTGTGAAAATCGCTCCGTCACTCGCCCGCTCGGCGCCTCGTTAGCTCGTCCGGGACGATTTTTAAACCCTCCCGCGTGCGCGCCGGACTGGCTATGACGTCATTGAAAGCTCTGAATCCAGCTGAGAGCGGTAACAAATTGCCGCTGGGTGGGCTGGGCCGAAATGACTGCACCGCTCCCCGTCTTCCGTCACCATCCGTCCTGCGAGTGCCGCTCCAACCCAAACACACACTATCTGGGTCAGGCCACCGAAACGTGTTTTATCTCCGTACTCCGGACGTGCTCGGCGCTGTTATTTGAGCGAACTGCTGGCCAATTCGCCAGGCCTTCTGCAGAGGCGGACTAAGTCGTCTGGAGAAACATGAAAGGAGCGGAAATATAACATATCGACCAAAACGTCTGAAATGTTTGTTTTAACTTCAAGATAGATCAGCAACTGTTGTTGGACCTAATAACTTGTCTTATGAAAATATTTATCGTAGGTACATACCGCCCATTCGCATTTCAACAGGCGTGTCGTGGATGACGTCAAACGTCTCTAAACATGGCCACACCCCCGTTTACCCCCGTTTCTGACTCCGCCTCTGCCGAGCGCCGCACGCTGTACGCATCTGCGTGCTGGCGCTGCCGGCGGGCCGAGGCGTCTCACCTAATTGCCGCCGGCGCTGAGTCCCTGATGGACCGGTGTTGACATTAAGCGATAGAGCCAATGGTCCCGCCTGTTTATCTGTGAGGTGGGCGCGATAAGTCGCCGGCTCAGTGTAGAACGGACGGCCGGCGGGGCGGTACGGTGGAGAGGACGGTTCAGCGGTGACCGGGCGCGGCCGGGGGCGGGGCAGGTCGGACAGAGGGCGACCTTTGGTGACCTTTGGTAGGTCACTTGGACGGGCTGACAAAGTGTGGAGTGGCACGAGAACTCGAGTGGTTAGACGGACAGTTCCGGTGATTCCGTGCGTTCCGGTCGTGTGTCGTGCGAATGACACGGGGTTGTAAGTCCCGTGCGGAGCCTTTGACAGCTCAGTGACGCCCGATCTCCCTCTCGTGTCCTCCGTCGAGAAACACGTGACCTGACCTCAGCGTGGTGCTACCCGAGCCGGCGTGCGGTGATCGTGGGCCGCCCCTCAGGGTCGGCTGCTGGTGACCTCTGACCGCAGAGCGGGCCGCGCTGAAACCCCGCAGGAGCCTCGGACCGATCTGCAGCGGGTAGCAGTGACTCAGGGAGGCCGCCGGCCCATCACTCGCCGCTGACAGGCCCGCTCCGGCAGTCGCACAGAAACCCTGCACGCGTCCGTGTACTCTCCGCCGCTCGGGAAGTGTCCAAAGTGTGCGCCAGTGTCCCCGCAGGATCGCAGTGAATTACGCTCCCGTCGGTGACGCCAGTGACTTTCGGTGACTGAATTCACCCAGTGGAATCCACAGTAGCGCCTCTCAGTGCATCGACCTGTCCTGGCGGGAGTCGTGCCCAGCTGGGTCTGCGAGTGTGCCGGCCGGCGCGCGGACTAAAAAAGCTCGGACCATATGTGTCTCATTAGCTGCCCGAGGTCAGCGGTCGGGGCGCGGACTGTGAGCGACATATGATGCCCAGGTGGCGGCGCGCGCTGGCGACTGTGTTGTGACGGCCGTCACGTTTGCTGTGACGGCTTCCGGCCGCCGTGACGCCCTGTGACGGGACGCACGCCGACCGTCTGAGGCGTGCTCCAGACGGTGCCAGGACTGGCTGGAGGGTCTGAGTCACCGCCCCGGACTGCGGGGTTTGGATCTGGTCCGCCCGGCGCAGGGATAAGTTCACAGAAGGGGTGGAGCGTTTGCGAACTGAGACTGGAGTGTGTCGTTAGCTGTCGAACCCCGACCGAACCAGTGAGACAGTGGCATGTTGCATCAAGAGTGAGGATACGTTGAGCCGAGTGAAGCCAGTGCAAAGCTCACTTGTGTGCGGACGAAGTGTGAAGTGAAGCCCTACGATGATCATCGTCTCGGTGCTGTTGCAAAGGTTACGCCACCTTAGCTAAACCCCTCCCCGTGGTCTTACGTGACACCGTCGTCCCCTACCACCTTTCTGTTTCTACCCCACTCTTCCCATCTCGCTGTCATGTCTCTGGAGGACGTTGTGGGTCGCGGTCTGTCCATGTTCTGGTCGGACCGCGCTGTCGTCTTCCCTCCGACACCCACTCCTCCGTCGGAGGTACTCCGGCGAAGAGCCACCCTCCGCTCCGAGCGCGCCACCTCCAACTCCCCGTCGAAAACGACGCGTCGGCGCTCGGTGAGGTTCGCTGCTGACTCTAAGCCACCGGCCGTGAACAAGAGGCACACGATGGCGTTTGGAGAGAAAGACTTGATGTCAGATGTGGGACAGCTAGCTCCAGGGAACGCTCAACGCAAAGCTCGGACCCTGAGCTCTGTCACAGAAGCTGTTAACCCTGCCGTTGTTGGCTCGTCGGTCTCCAATCGAGAGCCGCTGGATGGACTGCTCCGCACCACACGGGGACTGCGTTTGAGTGGGAATAGTGCATCGCGCCAGGCTGCTTGGAACGTTTCATCCACCATCGCTGGCTCCGGTGGTGCTGGGACTGGTGTCTGCGAGTGTGGTGCCCATGGAGTCGCCACCGGCGCCCCTGGTGCTGCAAATGGTGCAGCCAGTGCCGCTGTCGCCACCTCTGAAACTGTTGTTCGTCGTACTACCTCTACTCGTCTCAAATACCGTTACAAATCCATCAGGTGCGCCTCAGTGGGGTCAGATCGGGGCGAAAGTATCCTCTTTCCCAAATGTATGGGGCGGGCCGAGCTAACGCGCATTAACGATCATGAGCGGCGCTCGTGAGATGATCCAGGAAAACCGCGAGTCTATTTTAACGACAGACTAACCGCTAAATTTCTTGTCTGTCACGCCTAAGTGTGGAGTGGTCGTTCCGCGGCGCACCTTACGCTGACCTCTCACGACTCTGGCCGCACTTTGACGGCAGTGATTGTTACCGCTAACGTCGCTATTGATGGTCCGACACCTCAGGCGCTGTTCTGTCCCTATCAGATACCGATCGACGTTTGAGGAGCAGCCCGAGTGTTCACACCCACATCTCTAACGGTGCGCCGCTGTTGGAAACATTTTCGTGGCCGCCTGTATGTAAATTTTAATGACGTTTAATTTAATGCCTCTGACTGTTGAACTGATGGTGTCTGTCTGTCTGTGCCCGCAGTGTGCTGTTCCCGTGGCGGAGAGGAGACTCGAACCGCGCCTCCGGCCGCAGCAGCGTCGGTGACCCGGACACGGCTGAGGACACGAGGAGCGTGTCCAGCGCAAAGGTCAGTCCTCAGACGCCCCGCGGGGGCACCGGGGACACGCCGGGCAAGGATCAGAAGAGCCGGGAAACACAGCGGAGATGGCGACTGCGTAAAAAAGACGGAGGAGATAACCTTGTCAAAATGGCGTATTCTTGTTCCTCTTGAGGTGGATCAAAGGCTCAAGGCGCTCTCGTAAATTACTGTCCTAATCACTGAATTATTGAGAAAAATAATTTGCTCTCATAAGTTCGAAATTAATCTAGCTATTTTACCAGTAAAATAAAGAATGCATGTCACGCATATCATATTCCGGGGCTAAATACGCCACCACAGTACTGCCAATTCGTGTGTAAAGCTCAAATTCAGCACGTTTGCAGCAAAGCCGGCATAACATGCTGATAATCCATGTCACTCTGCATTTAGCCGCAGCCCACAGGTGGCATGAACAGGCACAACAGGCTTTTCAGGCTTTTCGGTCACAGTGGTCTGCTAACGCTCGTTCTTCGCTCCTTCGAACATGCCATCAGAAGTCGTTTAACAGAGCGTTCCACTCTGAAAACCGGCACTGTTTGTCCCGCTGCGCTCGTTTTGTCGCATCTGGCATTTATGTTCCGCTTGATTCGGCTTAGCCCGGTTGATTAGCTTTGGTGTGACGAAATTAATTTATTTTGGCATTAGCGCCGTTTCGCTGGAAGCATTCCCCAATAGTAACTGCCTCACGGTCACTCCATACAGTTGATGGATTCAATAACTCATTGTTGGATTATCTGTCATTCGCTAATGGTGTTTTCCGAATTTCTTGGCTGCCCATGGAGACAACATGGAGGCGCTGAAAATCCCAAATGGTCTTCACCCTTTCTGCTTTTTAATTAACCGCGCTGTGCGCTCGGAGACTTCATTACATATAACACCGCCCGCTCTGTTCATTTATCTCGCTTTCTGTTCCATTTGGTCGCTGTGGTCTGAAGCTATCCCTCTCTGGGTTTTCTGGGCATTCAAACCGTCCACCACACCAGCTTATGACAGGCGGCGACATTAGGAACCATGCAGCGTTTTGATGACACCAATCAGATCGCCTACACGAGTGTGTGTGTGTGAGACGGGGAGAGACCCAAATGATGACGGTGAAAGTAAAAACCGTCGGCGCACGCGACTCAGCGTGACGTGACGGGCCGTCACACCGTCACGGGCTCGCCGGGCTGTCACAGGAGCGGAGCCAACTGTCACGCGCTCATCTGTCACCCCGGCTCTGACAGGCCGCTTTGTACCGATCTGTCACCGCGCGCCAGTTCAGAACTGCCGGGTCTGCCCACCCACGGGTCATGGGTGACCTGTGCTTCTTTTTGTCAAGTAGTAAAGACCAGTGTCAACAGGGCTTTTTCTCCTGATTCCTTTACCAAACGCTCGCCGACAGGTCATGAGTGAGCCAGATGCCAGACAGCAATAGATTCTCTCAGCAGTTCAGCAGCAACGGATCAGCAGCTTCTCAACTATCACTCATATTGTCATCAGTGATGTCGTTCCTCCTCGACAAACACCCACGAGAGCGTGTTTCCACACCCCCGCTTCTTCTCATCATTTTGCTCGCCCCTGTGCGTTCGCGTAAAACTGCGACAGCAATTAGGAGCGATGAAAGTGGCAGCCATGAGTTATGTCTACGCACGCACTGCTAGTGAGGAAAGTGCGCCGTGGCCGCTGTTAAAACTGCTCGCGTTCGCGATCACTTTCGCTAAGCATTGCTCAAGCACCACGAGTCCTGGCGGCGTAGCATGCATCACTTGCCATGTGGCGCGTCGTCACGGCGCGCCGACCCGCCCCAAGTGTTGCCAAGAGAAATGGACTCTTGCACGGTCCTGGCGTCCGATGTCGTTTCATAAACGAAATCATGGGAACGGTCTGTCGTTTCCTGTGCCGGTGCGGCTGCCGTAGCGCGTGGGACTCGCTCGCAACGCCGGCCGTCCAGCGATGGGCTAACAGAGCTCGTCGCCGGCGGCGCTGGCAGTTCCGTGGTGGCTCGGTGTCTGCGGCACCCGACCGTCGGCCGACGTGGACCACGGACTGATTCTCACGGTCCGCTGGTGCGCCGGTGGAGGGGCGTCCCGCCGTCCTCCCAGCTGCCAGACCCGCCGTCTGACCCCGCAGGGACGCGGCGCGCGGGTGTTCGAGGCTGGAGATGAGCCCGGGTCCTGGTCCTGTCGACGGGCCCGCCCGCGCCCGCCCCGTCTCCACCCCGCGCCGCTCCGGGACCGGTTTCTCCTGACCAGTCGAACGTAATGAACATATTCTAATTCGCCTCGAGAAAGTCGGGTGTCGGCCGCACGGGCGACGAGCTCGGCATTCGCGCTGTCCGTGGGCGGCCTCGCGCGGCATGGCGCCCCGGCCACCGTGACAATGCCAGCCAGAATGCGCGCCTTAGATATTCATTCGAAGAAGGTCACTAAGAAGGTCGCGTCTATTGTGGTGGGCGGATGAAGGCCACTTTCCCACCTCTGCCTAATCAGAGAACAGTGTGGGACGCGTGCCGCCCACTCCAAGGAGATGGAAATGAGTGAACCTCCGCGGAGCTAATGATAAGATACCTGGCCTGCTATCTGCTCTGGAGACGGAAAATCGCCGCGGCGCTATCATATCGAAGGAGATCCAGTGGATTTGCGAGAAACCTGGCTGAAAACAATGAGATACGTCGTTTTTTATTAGCGACAACTACGATCTGATAAATCTCTGAAGTGTCATGAATCCGTCGGAGATGAAGTGCAGATGAAAGGCGAAAGTCATACTGACTTCATAATGATTTGATGGGTAAATAGAGACAGTCGTTGATATATTTGTTATCGCGTAAGAATTTAATGACAAAAGGTTTTTCATTTACTAGGCATACTGAATAACACAGCACTGAACCATGGCAGCATTGTTCATTACGTAATGAAATTTATCAAACCAAAATAGTTAGTCCGTGTGCTGACTTCTGCCACCATTCGGCACCGCCCGTGTCGCTCAGTGCCGTCCGTCATTCCGCGCTGTTCGTTCACCTCTGCGTGCCGATATGAGCCCCCGGCGGCTGCCAACTGTCCGCCACGCTGACAAACGACACCTGTCACACGCAGCCGCCATCGGGGCCGCACGCGCTGATTTGGCAGCGCGCCGCCGCGCCCGCTGTGCGGACTGTGTACCCTGCTGATGACTTCCGAGCCGTGGTCGGGCCACTTCCGGCATCCGACTGCTGACCCGTGGCAACTGGCCCCTGGCCTGCAGTCAAAACTCATGGCGACTGGTCCGCTCCTGGCTCTCGCATTCATGCAACTGATGGCTGTATCATGTCATGTGTATAATGTTTTTGTTAACCTTTTATTTTTCCTTTATTGATGTCATTCTTCTGTCGATAGTGTCCTGGACTCACTTTTCTAAGTCTCGTTCTGCGTTCTGCATTTTTATATTTCCAAAGACACGTACTCATCTCTCAGACTGGAAGCTGGCTGTCTTTACCCCTTTTCATTCCCACCTGTCTAGCATTAAATCGGTTGTGCTAATAAGTGTCATGATTTGTAGTTTCAACGCTCTTCTGACGTCACATGCTAAAACCTAACTAAAATCTGACCTCATTAGGGTAGTGAGCCAGGCTTAACTAAAATCTGGTCTCATTAGAGATGGAGCAGGAGTCAGGTCGGGCCATGGAGCCGAGCCAAGCATCCTCTAGTGGACAGGCCGGGCCTCATCAGGGTGGGCGCGCGTCATCACGGATGGCGGCGGGGCGTCATCGGCGTCACTCCCGCGCCCTCCATCCGTCACTGTCAGCCGCCGCCGCCGCCGCCGCCGCCGCCGCCCGCACCTGCGCGTGCCTGTGGGGGCGGCCGGTGCGTGTGTGCGTGTGCGGGGGCGCCGGTCAGACGGTCAGAAGTCAGTGACCTGTCAGTGGCTCTGTCGATGACCCGCGTGCCTCGAGGTGCAGCGCCTCTTCCGGCGTTCGGCTGATCTGTTTCCTCTTCCTTTCCACCGTACTGAGCTAGCTCACGCTGGTTTACTATAGTTAGTAGTTATACAGAAAAATTATCGTGAAAAGTGACAGGATGTGCTTCACAGACATTTCTAGGAAACGACGCAATGCATCTCCTCATCACTTTTTTATTCTTTCGTTGAAGCCTTTTTCACATCTACATATGCCTCCATATCGTCAGTAAACGAATGCGCCATACGCCGACGGTCAGATCGCTCTGGTAACGGCTCCATGCCACTGTTCACCCGTTCAGTGACTCCACGGATCGACCTGGACTGACCAGCACCGGCGAAAGGGTCTCATCTGGGTCATATGCAGCCCCTCGGCAGGGGGTGTTTACCTTCCCCTGTGGGGTGCCCACTCTGTCGGTCAGATCCAGGCAGGGGTGGCCTGCTCTCCGAGACCACGTGACCCGTTCCACGCTGGTCAGACGGTGATTGTGGAAGACACGTGTCTGGTGCGTCGGGCAAGGATTGATGGCTTCATTATGGGCTCCGTATTGTTGGTTGCAGGCTGCAGGGAGATAGTGAAGTGCGTGGAGGGTGTGACTGTGATGGATTCGCCAGATTCGTATGCGTGCCTCGGCCCTCGCGCACAGCACAATCCATCCCTTCGCCCACTGCGGTATCGTGTTAGTTCCGCAACCATATAAATTCCCTCGCTCTCTCGTCCAAATTTATCTGTCAACAAAACAATACCTTTACCGTGTATCGTCTGTCTTGATTGATATAGATAGACAAATTGAATTATAAGTGGAAAACAATGGGAACGTTTTTGGTTATATTACTTTAAGTTGGCTACACATGTGTTTCGATATACATCTTTTTCAAGCCATAAAGACAAAATAAAATGTAAATAATTCGCCTAAACATCAAAGTTGTCAAAATAGTTTGCGGCACAGATTAAAATTCAAATAGCAATGCTTCACACCCGTCGCTTCTCACTTTGCACTTCTAGTTTTTAGATCGTGCAAAATAAGTTCAGCCGTAAATCTGCTCAGTTTCACTTTTCCTGCATTACCATTTAGATT